AATTATGCTCAAAACTATATATTGCTCTAACAGACGCATGTTCGCTCTTTTACTTATGTTTCTATACAGTTTACATGCAGACATGTGTATTCATATGAATTCTTYTTGTGCATATTTATGAATACATGTGCAATTGAATACATTCGAATTAAATTACTTTCTCTGATATAGACAGAACGTTTATCATTTTATATTATACGTTCTCTGCAAGCATAAATAAGTAGCGACATCTGTTGACCATTTCTTATTGACTTGTGGCTTTGCTAAATCCACTCGCAGAGATATAAAAATGTTTTGGGGTCAGTGTATTAAAGCAAAAAAACTTTTTGCAATCAAATAAATAAAAAAAATTATAATAAAATTAATTTTATACTTCGTAACCATGAAGTGTTTGAAAAGACGTAGCACTTTACAGGTTCATCTTTTATTTGTTTAAATTTTCCACTATAATTTTTTATAAGAACTAATTTTAACAAACTCTTTATTTCCTAATTTTTCTCTGGCTCTGTGCATACCTGCATTGTTATTTAAATAAATGCTTTAAAAAGCAACCCTGATTAATACACGTGCAACCGGTGTTTTATTTATAAAATTTTGCAATAGACTTTCACTAAATTACATTACACATTTAAATTTATTTTAATCATGGGTAAGAAGGATAAAAATAAGAAGAAAGGTAAAGGGGCTGAAAAGACGGCTATGAAAACGGATAAGAAATTGGCAGCCAAGCAAAAGCGTATGTTGGAGAAGCTTGGTGAGGTATGTTGTTATAAATAGTAAACAATTGTAATAGATACTATATCTCGCAATGACAATTTTTAGGCTGATATAGCAGAGGTGGTAGCTAAATTAGAGGCTGAGGAAACACGGCGTAAAACCGTGACGGAAGAGATTTGTCCACCGCCAACGCCACGTTCGAATTTCACTTTGGTCGCCCATCCCGAAAAAGAAGAGCTCATACTTTTTGGTGGAGAATTTTATAATGGTCAACGCGTTTGTGTTTACAATGATTTGTTTTTCTATAATATTGCAAAAAATGAATGGAAGCAAGTGCAATCTCCAGCAGGACCAGCACCACGTAGCGGTCATCAAATGGTTACTGTAGCAACGGATGGCGGCCAATTATGGGTATTTATTTTAAGTATACTATTTTATGTATTCCAAACTATTTTTCCATTTTTTTTTTTAGGTTTTCGGTGGAGAGCATGCCAGTCCGTCGCAGCTGCAATTTTATCATTATAAAGATCTTTGGGTGATGCGTATGAAAACGCGTACATGGGAAAAAGTGAATGCACCGAATGGACCAAGCGCCCGTAGCGGTCATAGAATGGTTGTGAACAAAAAACGTATATTTATTTTTGGAGGCTTCCACGATAATAATCAGTCTTACCGTTATTTTAACGACGTACACATATTTTCGTTGGAATCATATGTATGGTTGAAGGTCGACGTAAGTGGTGCCCTTGTACCAGCACCGCGTTCCGGTTGCTGTATGGCAGCTTGTCCCGATGGTAAAGTACTTATATGGGGTGGTTATTCAAAGGCAGCAATTAAGAAAGATGCAGACCGTGGCGTTGTACACACAGATATGTTCTCACTTGTGCCTGATAGTAAGTTTTTTCTTGTCAACTGGTAATTAGAGTCATGTTCATATTTTAAAACACTTGTGCATTTAATATTGCAGAGACCAATTCAGATAAATTTAAATGGGTCACAGTAAAACCTGGTGGCTATAGGCCCCTGCCACGGAGTAGTGTTAGTTGTACGACAGCTCCTAATGGTAAGTCGTATTGTTTTGGTGGTGTCATGGACATTGATGAAGACGAGGAAGATATAAAAGGACAGTTCGGCGAGGAGCTTTTGTCACTGGACTTAACTACGCAAACCTGGCGATTATTGGAAATAACTAAAAAGGAAAAGAGCATTAACAAGAAAAACAAAGAAACGACGACGCAGGATGTCGAAATGGGGGTGGCTACAAACTCTGCTGGGACCACAAGTACAGATGGCATATTTACCGTTACAGTGGCAGGACCAAGTATAAGTAGCAACGCGTCTTTACCGAAAGTACCCAGTTTGTTTCCAAACCGACGACCGAAGAATGTGCCTTCACCCCGCATGAACTCTGGTTTATGCGTATCGAAAGGTGTGCTTTACGTATATGGTGGGCTTTATGAGGAAGATAACAAACAATACACATTCAATGATTTCTATGCTTTGGATTTGCATAAATTGGATGAATGGAAATCTATCATTCCCAACGATATGAACGCACATGAATGGGTTGACAGTGAAAGTAGCGATACGGATGAGAATGAGGATGATAGCTCTGAAAGTGATAGTGACAGTGATGACGATGACGATGACGCAGGAATGGAAACTGATTAATTGTTAATTACAATAAGTAATAAACTCAGATATTACATAGATCTTCGTTTTTGTAAGTCTTTTAGAAAAATAATTGGATATATATTTATTATTAACGATTCTTGTTAAATGTAAAAAAAGCAAGCAAGGAAAAACATAAAATGCAATTTAAGGATTGGAAAGTTGCAGCAATTCTGTAAGTATACGGCGTGTGTCATCAGGCGTGGCGACTTTATGCGATATCACGCGTGGGTCAATGAAAATTTCGTAATCGTTCCCGCCGGGTTCAGTCTTATCACCGAAAAAGTGTATTTCTTTAAATTTGTAATTGGCCTCAATATATCGCAGAGAATATGTTTTATCCCAACCTTTTGGAAACACGTCAAAACTGATTTGGCCACCAATACTGTATTGTAAATCAACATCTACGAATTCTTTTTGAAGTATTTTAATCATTTCTTCACGCACAGGATGTTTTTTCTCGTATTCGACGAACATGTTTCGCTCCGAACGCGTACATTGTCTACCCATTGGACATACATTCATCATACCATTTCTAAATTCTATGAAAGTACCCCGCTTAATGGGCAAATCCAGTTCAGACAAATAACGTAGTACAAAATTAATAAACCGTTTCAATGTGGGTTCGCCAAGATGTTGTATTATGTTTTGTTTTCCAGCTTCTTTGCCATGATCAATTTGCACTAAACCATTTTCAGGGAACAGGAAATCAAATTCCTCAAGTATTTTTTTACCATTTAATTGTTCAAACATTTTTTCCAAATCAGAACCGCCAACAGTTGCAATATTTGCCCGCGGCTTCACTTTTGAGTACATGAATGCTTCGAATTCTGGTTGAATATTGCTGCGTGGATAGGTCAGTGTACCATCCACATCAAAAAGCAATAAGAGCTCATCTCTTTGCAAATTTGCTGTCGTCATTTTACACAAGGAATTATTTGAATGATCAATACTTAGGTAAGAAGATGTAAAATGTTAAAATCAGGTTAAATTGTTAAAAACAATGGATAATGGATTCCAATACTTGATTATTTAAAGAAAATCCACGTATCCAATTGGGCGAACTGATAACCGGCCATCAGCTGATAATAAGTAATAGTGTTGCCACAAGTAAATTAAAATTGTAGTAAAATAGGTCGTAGACCACCAAGCAACGGTACTTATTGCAAAATTCAATAAAAAGGAATCGCTAGTATTTGCACGAATTTAAATGTATACGTAAATCAACAAAAATATAAAAAAAGGATATTTTAATAAAGTCCATACAGAAGACGTTTTGAAGCTGTATCCCGAGAACGTGTATTACGTTCTCTGCTGTACCTAAACATGCACTAAATTTTTTTGAGTTGACGTTCGCTGTCATTATTTCACTTTGGTATTTGCTTTGGTACTGCCGCCATTCTAAACATTTTGTTGGGTGTGTCATTTCATTAATTGCTGTAAACAAAAATTGTATCTTTTAATTTTTATTGCAGAGTACTAAAAACTACCTCAAAATGTTGCGAATATGTTTACTAAGCATATTTATATTCCTGTTGCAGGGGAAGGATATAGGTAAGATCGAAAGAACATGCGATGCGAAAGTTGCTTAGTTTTGATGAGGAAGAAAACATGACGCATTCAGAAAGCAACAATTAATGGGGCGTTGCTTAATTTAATAATATTTATTATTTAAAGTAGTGATATTAATATAACATAATTAATTTAATAATATTTATTATTTAAAGTAGTGATATTAATATAACATATAAGTTCATAGTAATTTATATTTTATCAAACTTATAATTTTATATTAAAATTGTTCGAAAGTCTCACTTAATATTCTTGTATTCACAGATGCTCAACATCACTATGAATATGAGCGACAAGTTAAAAACATTATTTGGTGCACCAAATCACTTGAAGAACAATATAAATGTCAAAACCTCACCGTTGCCATTGAACGTGATCGAGCTTTATTTGATGATGCGTATTTAAATCTCACGTGTTTTTTGGGTTATAGCGCGGATGAATGTATTCACCATATCGATCATGAAAAAGCACACGTAACAACACTTGATGCGGGTGACGTTTTTACAGCTGGTAGATACAATTCTTTAGTACCTATAATGCAAGAAAAGTTTGCCGGTGGTCTTTCAAATTATCACGCTGTCGCTGTTGTCAAAAAAGACACTTTGCAAGATGTTTACAGTTTAAGAGATTTGCGAAACAAACGTGCCTGCTTCCCGTGGGTGGGTAGCATGGCCGGGTGGATTGTGCCCATTTATACGGTAATTATAATTACTAATTTTTTTAGATATTTCACTAATATACTTTCTTATATGCAGTTGCAACGTGAAGGTGGCATGGAAGTAGTTGACTGCAACAATCAAGTCAAAACCGCTGCCAATTATTTTAATAACTCTTGCGCCGTGTACTCATTGATCAACAAATACAATCCAATTGGAGACAATTCTGATAAGTAAATGTTTAAAAAGATTTCACTTTACATGTATGAATAATTTTAAATATTTTTTGTCCACAGACTATGTACGCTGTGCACAGGTAAAATACCTGGTGGAAGATGTTCGGCAAAAGATCCTTACTTTGGCTACGATGGTGCTTTCCGTTGTCTCCTCGAAGCTGGTGAAGTGGCTTTTCTACGCGACTCAACAGTCACGGAAATGCTGCAAACTAACGAATTCAGTAAGCTGGCCATAATAAAAAATTATATACTTTTTTTAAATCGATTCCTTCTTCCAAAATAAAGGTAGTTTATCACCTGATCGCTTTGAACTGCTTTGTCGTGATGGTCGTCGAGTGCCTGTCAGCGAATACCGCCAATGCAACTGGGGTGTTATCCCCTCCGATGCAGTCGTTACGTCCTCTGCACGAAATTCATTCGAACGAAAGAAATTTCAACAATTTTTAAGACGTATAATTGAACTTTACTCAGATGCTCTGCGCGAAGAAGCGAACGAGCAAAATAAACGTTTAAATGGCGAGGCGGGAAATAATTTCAATTACAATGTAAACAATGATCAATACGGTAACACTTACGGAGTAAATAACAATAATCCGTATAATTCAAATAATCCATACGACACATCCAATACATACAACCGAAACCCTTATGATAATTATGATGGTGGTAATAGCGGTTTTCGCAATGATCGTTTGGATTCAAGTTTCACAACGGATCGCAATTATCCGGATGGTACGAACGAAACCATTCTATATGAGAAATTCCGAATATTCGAGTCACGTCGTCATGGCAAAGCAAACCTTATGTTTCAGGTGAGTACTGTGAACGTTTGAAAAATAATTTAATGACTAAACCTATAAATGCATTTTCAATTTAAATTTTTTTTATTTATTGTCAATGCTCAAATTGCAGGATTCTGCACGATCGCTAATATTAATTCCAGAAGATGATCAATCATTTAGCAAACATTTGCAAGACACAACCACTTACATTTATGGTATACGTGATTGTCCAGTACCTAGTATGACACTGTGTGTAACATCCGATCCAGAGCTAGAGAAATGTATTAAAATGAAGGCAGGTTTCCTTTGCTTTTATTAGAATTGTATTTAATAAACTTACATCTTTATTCCCTTAGATTGCTTTAAAAGCACAAATATTAAAACCTGAACTGATATGCAAAAAGGAACATTCGCACATTAATTGCATGCAATGGATCCAATCCGGAAAAGCTGATATCGCCGTATTTGATGCAGGCGATGTATATACTGGTGGTTTGAATTATGACTTGATTCCTTTTATGTCTGAAGTTTACAATTTGGGCGAACCGGAGTATTATGTTGTAGCCGTCGCGAAGGAGGAAGATCCAGACACTGAACTGACATATCTAAAGGGCAAATATACATGTCACACAGGCATTAACACCGCCGCTGGCTGGACCTATCCAATGGCCTTCCTCATATCGAACGGTTGGATACGCCCATACGGTTGCGATTCAATACGTGCTGCTGCTGAATACTTCACGAAGTCGTGTATACCTGGCGCTATCAGTAATGAATATAACACTGGCGTACCCTACGACAGCATGTGTGATCTTTGTCATGGCACCAGCTATCGTTATTGTAGACGTGATGCATCTGAAGATTACTATGGTCATACCGGTGCATTCCGTTGTCTAGTTGAGGGTGGAGGACATGTGGCGTTTATGAAGCATACCACTGTTATGGAAAGTACGGGTGGCAAACGTAAAGAGTGGTGGGCTCGAAATACACTCAACGATGATTTCGAATTACTTTGTACCGATGGTAAGCTACAACAAAGAAATTTGTTTTAACTCCAATTAAACATATAAATTATTGCAGGTACTCGCGCTGAGTTGCATGACTATAAAAAATGTAACTTGGGTAAGGTTAAGGCAAATGCAATTGTAACGCGTGGCGGTGTTAACTACAATGACACCCAAATTAATGCATACATTAATTTATTAACCTACGCCCAACAACTGTACGGTCGCAAAAATACCGATACGTTTAGCTTCAGTATGTTCTCTTCCCCGATGGGCTTTTACGATCTAATCTTCCAAGACGCCACACGCCAACTACGCGTCATACCACCTAATCAACGTCGCTACGATATCTACTTGGGCAGCAACTTTATGCGTGCCCGACGTATCACTGATTGTTATGCCGGTGCAGCGCAGTTAATGGTTTCCGTACCGCTTCTCTTTATTTTATATGCTTTTCTCTTAGGATTTTGAGAGCAAATTATTCCATCTATACTTTAGGTATTTAAAAATAATTACTATTTTTTTAAACAATATTACTAAAGTAATTCCAAAATAGTTCAAAAATTGACACTTATAAAAATAAATACCTTAGGTTAAGTATAAAGAAGGTATGACTTGTTAAAGCAACAATCATATGTTTTCACGTTTATATGTCGTAATTTCTACAAAACAATGTACGCAGTGCATTTTGCAACATAAGCACAAAGGTAGATTATTTTACATCTACACACTTATGTATCTCAAATAAGCAAATTGTTGTCCATATGTATTCTCGTATAGCTCGTAATCAAAATATTTATACATTCATAATTAAGTGCCTTATATTGAAACATTCCGTCCAAATTTTTTTATGTAGAAATCCGTCCAGTTTTTTATATTTATAACGAAGTATATACACACAACATATGTATATGCTTAAAGTAACTGTAACCAATACAAATATATGGTATAATAAAGAAATATTCTTTTGTAAAAATTTCTGGAATATTTATTTTCACCACCTCAAATATCTTGTCTACCTTCTGAGAATATCTGTTGGTGTCATTCGTAAGAGTGGGAAGTGTGAAAGTGTGTTTGTGGTAAAAAAAATTGTACTTGTTTTTTTTTCATATTATTATTGTTCGAACCAATTATTTTTTGAAGTCAATTTCATATTTTATACAGGACAAATGGAGCTGAGTGCGCGGTTCCTTTTACAATTTTTGGTCTATAAATACACAGAAGCAGCAATGAAAAATGTGTTTATTTTTGTAGTAGTAAAAACAACTCTCAAATCTTACCGGTAAGTGTTAGTAAATAGCATTTACATGACAATCCTTGGCCAAACCCATTCGGCTTACGTAGATGTGAATGTTGTGTTAATGAGGTGTTTTCTACAATTTTATTTTTGCTTCATTACGCAAAAATTATGAAATGATTGAATATGTAAAATTTTCCCAACTTTAGATAATTGACAGAATTTTTTTTTTTTTTTTCATTTAAATCAAATTAAATTCCTAAATTCAAAACATTGTATTTTAAAAGGAAAGGGAAGTTGGCAAGAAAAACGATTTCAGCGTTTTTTGATGTTCTCATAGTGTTGGAAAACATTATAAACAAACTTGAAATATATTGTTAAATATTATTTATCTAAATAAATTGCTGCGAATTTGAGAATATTTTCCTTTGATTATGAGATATTAAAACAATTGATTTTATATTATAAAATAAAACCACTGAAATTTCGCTATAAATGAACCGTTAAATTTGGTAATCGTAATCGTAATCGACTTTACTTGATAAATTTTACGCTCTGTGGGTGTTGCGCTATTCTCACAGTTCTGATATTTTGACATTTGGTCATTTTCTAGCTTTTAACAAATGATATCGGCTGTTTTCCCGGAAACTTTTCGAGTTGTACATTTCATTCAAAATATTTTAAAGTAAGCTCTCATAAGTGAATTTATATTGAAAATCACAAAAAACAATAGCGCAAAGAAAAATAAATATCTTTTCTCACACTATCAAAATAATGGTGTGCCACCTCTAAACAGTAGGAGGCCGTTAATACAAATACATACAATTGATTATATGTATTACATATATTAAAATATTGTTGATAAATTCCAAATCAAGTCTTCCCGGTTTTGAGATAATATACTTTTACTCTCTGTAGGTGCCGTGCCATTGTCTACGAACGTGTTTTGTTGTGTGTCGTGGCAAATAACTCGAATTTCTGCGTTTGGTGTTTCGAATCAAAGTGAATTGTTGAATACTACAAAATGTCCATAAACCTACGAACAGTGTACGCGTTTGCAAGGGAAATGTATCCAAAGAAGTCAACAGCACCAATACAATATGGCACGGCAGGTTTTCGTGGCAAGTAAGTGAAATTTAAATTATATTGAGAGCTGTTAATATTATTTCTTACAATTTGTTTAAAAACTTTGATGTAGACTGATAAAGGCATAAGTGCTAGCAGAACATATTCTGTAATACCGGTGATTGAAGTTCCCAATATTCAACTGTATATTCATATTTTAAACCCAACCGCGTGAACCATTATATATGCATCTGTATGTATACATATGCATGCCTGCCACCTCCCTATAATTCCCACATAACATTTTTATTTATAGATTTTTTGTACCGCATATTATTATTTTGTATAAATTACACAAACAAGTATATACTTTATATCAAAGAAGCCACGCCAATAAATGGCTAACTCGATGCATTAGTCTAAATGGTAGCAGCTGACCTGCTTAAAGGTCAAAGCACATATGTTAGTTAATATGTATGTATATACAAGTAATTATTGCTAGTAGGCACGGCATTTTATATATACATACATCTATTACAAACACTAAAAACTTGCCAATCACCCCTTCAAAAATAAACCTAGGCTTTCTTACAGTTTACGTACATATAAAAATACATATATGTTCGTTGATATTGTTTGTTTTTTTAACCATTTGCTCTGAATTATTAAAGCAAAAACTATTGGGGCCAAGTAGCCACAATCTAGGGCATTGTATACAGGTGAATCACAGCTAGCCGTTATTGCTATGTAATGCATGGGTTGAATCACCTCCGAACCATTGCAGCTCCCTTCACTTTTTTTTTGCAATGACTAGATACTTTTTGCCATTTGTAATACAAATTATTTCCATATTCTGGGAACTTTTATTTTGTGCTTTCATGCATTTTCAACTTCAAGGTAAACAACTGTTCCATTACCTACTAAGGAATTGAAATCGCCTACCGAAAGCATGCTATAAAATTTATGAGTTGTATGATGTCTTGTAATATGCATTTGTTATGTACTTCATATAGATATGTATACATACTATTTGTCTCGAATCTGTTCTTAATTGCTTGAGCTTAATTAAGACTCTGTTTCCTTATGTATTGAGATGCATGCTTATTATGATATTACAACATTACTAGCCACACATATATTATTATGCACAGATAGATTTTGCTATAACAAATAAAATAAACACCGGTATGTACGTAAGTACACTATTATCAGTACATTATCTTTTGTTGTTAATATTGCAAACAAACCGCAAAAGTGCTGTTGATAAACTTGTGTATCAGTTCTTACATACATGTACTATATGTATTAATTTTGTACACAATATAGTGAGATATTAAATTTTATTTTAGTTCTACATATGAATGTATATACATACAAATTAATATGTTTCTAATGGCATTTTTTTATTTCAGAGCCGAATTCCTGGACAGTGTTATGTACCGCATGGGCGTTTTAGCTACACTTCGTTCTCGAATTCGTGGCGGCGCTGTGATTGGTGTAATGGTCACTGCCTCCCATAATCCAGAGCCGGATAATGGTGTCAAATTGATTGACCCAAAAGGTGAAATGCTGGAAGCCAGTTGGGAATCCATTGCGACTGATTTGGCTAATGTTGAGGATAGCGAACTTGAAGCGCATGTTGCCAAGATTATAAGTGATAACAAAATAGACGTAGGTTCTTCTTCCATTGTATTTGTCGGTATGGATAACCGCTACCATAGTCCACGGCTGCTGAAGGCTGTGGCTGACGGTGTAATTGCGCTAAAGGGAAATGTTCGTGAATTTGGTATTGTTACGACGCCAATGTTGCACTTCTTTGTAGTAGCTGCTAATACTAGAGGTGCCTACGGTCAGCCAACGGAGGAGGGATACTACAAAAAATTGATCACAGCATTTGAAATATTACGTGGTGACAAATTAGAAAATGGCAACTACAGCAATAAGTTGGTATTCGATGGTGCAAATGGTGTAGGTGCACGAAAAATGCTGCAGTTTATTAAACGAATGCATGATTCCTTGCAAGTGGATGTAATTAATAAGGGCGATGGAAAAATAAATGAGAACTGCGGTGCTGATTATGTGAAAGTGAAGCAAGGTGTGCCCATAGGTATGCCAATTGTGGAACCATATACCCGTTGTGTGAGCGTCGATGGTGATGCCGATCGCGTAGTATACTTCTTCACCGATGATAAAAATCATTTCAGATTATTGGATGGTGACCGTATTGCTACGTTAGTAGCAGACTATCTTATGGAAATGGTAAAACGTTGTGGGCTTGATCTGAGTATGGGTTTGGTGCAAACAGCATATGCTAATGGTGGTTCAACGGACTATATTTCCAATACGTTGCAAGTACCAGTGGCATGCGTACCCACTGGTGTTAAGCATCTGCATCATAAAGCACTGCAATACGATATTGGTGTATATTTTGAGGCTAACGGACACGGAACTGTTATATTCAGCGAAAATGCTAAGAGTCTGATAAAGGCGGAATCCGAAACAAGTGTGGACGCGAAAACACTACTGCATGTTATAGATCTCATCAATGAAACCGTGGGCGATGCCATATCGGACATGTTGCTAGTCGAAACAATTTTGAACCATAAGGGCTGGGACGTTAAAGACTGGTTGGCGACGTACGATGATTTGCCGAATCTTCAATTGAAAATTAAAGTTCAAGATCGTAATGTCATCACGACAACCGATGCAGAGCGTGTTTGTGTGACACCAGTCGGTCTGCAAGAAGCCATAGACAAGGTGGTATCCAACTATAAAAGAGGCCGTGCATTCGTAAGACCATCAGGTACAGAAGATGTGGTGCGTGTCTATGCAGAAGCAGCTACCAAAAACGTAAGTTTAACATTTACATAAAAGTATAAAAGTGTTAATTTATTTCGTTGTTATAGGAAACCGAAAGCCTTGCTTATGAAGTGGGAATTTTAGTGCAACAGCTGGCTGGAGGCGTTGGACCAGAGCTTATTCATCCTGGAAAGACAATAAGTGCCCACATCTAAATATTTTAAATATTCCTCTCTCAAAAGAAAAAAACTATTTCAAGCTGAAATCTGCCTTCAAAGCGGACTCTTTAATGCTCTTGCTACACAACGATAAAATGTCTAAAAGTTACTTACATGTACATGCCTTCCTTAAAATAAGTAGTTAGACGAAAACACTTTCATTCATTTTCTACAGATCGTTTATTATTGTGTTACATGTTATTATTAATTAATTTTTTTTGTTTTTTTTTCTGTACTGCAGATATGCATTTAAATTTGCTTTGTAATGCGGAACTGCCTTGAATTAAAAACAAATATTTTATGTAAAAGCTATATGTAAGCATTAATTGAGTTTTAACTATGTATTAAATGTACATACAGACATGTGTTCAAGAAGTTATGTGCTTATTTCATTTTGTTTTTAACACTATAATGTGCTCGCCTTTAATAGAAAATTGCGTGAAATCATTTGTAAATTTAATAATCTCCATTACAAAAATATTTGTAAATTTAATTTATTTTAAGTATTAAAATGCGTTAATGAAACAACGAAATACATTCGTATACAAAAATCTTTGAGTTTAATTTTAGTACGTTTGAAAATAGTAATTCCATAATGCAACATAAAGTTCCCAGAAGTTGAAAAATTCAATCTTAATTATTTATCCTTTCATAAAAGTGCAACTTTTGTTTTTAAGAACTTAAATTTAATTTCAACTTTGCTTTCAATCCAAAGAATTTGGCATTCACATGATTTTACTGGTCCTTTGAACAAATTGTCACCCCGAAAACGATGAAACAGGTGCTCTAACCGTGTTAGTGCAGGTAAAATAATTTAAAACAACCGTTCTCAATGGTCACAATGATAAACTGCTAATTTTCTTCTTCATGGATCAAGATCTGCTAATCGAGAACGCTTAAGGAATAATTATTTCGGTGTATGCTTACTAAATAACGTTTCCGTTCCCACAATTTACATCCGGTTAAGAGCTGCCAACTCCAAATTGGGAAATATTTTATGCCGCGACAAGAACAACAATAACTGACGAACTTGCATTTTTGCTGAAATAAAATGTTGTTTTTTTTATCGCCTACAGACGATTAGAGAGAATAGCTGTGAATGTAACGCTTTTCCATTTTGATTTGACTGCGTTTACACGCGCATACTTTTATGGTCCAAACTCATGGCTTGACCCCCAAAGCAAAGACTTATCTGTCAAAGTCAAAGTCTGAAGCAAAGCGAATCAAAAGATTGAAAATTTGACCAGCCTCAGAAACGCAGTATACGTTGCCGCAACAAAATAGACATGAAAACTAGTAATAACATTATTCAGATAAAATATATTGCCTGCTTGAATAAAAATCATGAAAGGTTGACAAAAATCACATACATTATTAAAAATTTCGAATCAAATATTATTTAATGGTAATCGTACTTTTATTGCGCAGTATATAAATACTTTAAAATTCGAATTTAAGCACATGTTTCTTCTCAAATACTTGTATTTCATTACTCAAACATTAAATTTGACAGGCAATCGATCGAATGTTGTCTTTTAACTCATATATCAATTATATCTTTGTAACATTAAAATCTTTATTCCTTTATTATTAAATTCTAAACTATCTTTGCAACTTCCTGTACTCAATTTTGTCATAAGTTTTATGAAAATATATATCCAATATTTTAGTGAAAAATTAATTATTTTTTGATATATTGCTTTTTTACCTCTGTGATTGATGCGTATGTTATTATAGAAAATTTCGAAGCGTTTATGAATACTGCTATTTATGAGTAAAGTATCGATAAAATATTGTGTTCAAAAATTCGATAAATAAAATATTAACATCGATGTAAACTGTCAACGATTAGTACATCATTTGCCTTGTCAGCTAAACGGGCTAGGATTGTCTGAATTGTCTGATGCAATACTACATTCGAGTTCTTATTTTTATAGAAAGTATTTTAAAAGGAACTTCCATCAACGTTGAAAAGACAAACAATTAATATAATTGAAATTACAATTATGGACGTAGAAAACGTAAGTTGTATACTTCTGACCTCTGTACAGGAATGAAAATGATGGAGATTTTGTGGTGAAACGTGTAAGTTTCTACCAGTATCACACATTTTTGTTGCTTTGAGGTTATGTGCATCCCCGAATTTATGATTGTTAAAAATGGTAATTTTCAATTCAGGAGTTTGATCAAACATTGTCGAAAAAGAAGAAAAAGAAGAAGACATTCGACCTTGACGCTGCACTTGGTCTTGATGATGGCAGTAAAAAAGAGGAGCCTAAAGAAGACGCTCCACTGGATAGCGGGGCTGCTGATTTAGAAGATATTTTGGATTTAGAAAGTTTTGGAAAGAAAAAGAAAAAGAAGAAGAAACCTTTTAATTTAGATGAGCATCCATCCGAAAAGGAAGGAGAGGAAGATGAAAGCAATGCTGCTGCAGTGCAGGAAGAACCAGAAGATGACGATATCAACCTAGATATGAACTTTTCAAAGGACAAAAAGAAAAAGAAGACTAAAAAGAAGGAATTAGGCGAACTATTACCCGATAAAGATGAAGAAGATAAAAGCGAGAACAAAGAAAATGGTAAGCATTTTAATTGTATTTTATAAACTATAGTCATGCAATACCGTTTCTTTTTTTCAAACAGTCGACGATAACAGTTCTTCATGGGCTGGTACAGATCGTGATTACACATATGATGAGTTATTAAAACGTGTATTCGAAATTATCCTTGATAAAAATCCAGATATGGCAGCTGGACGTAAACCGAAATTTGTCATGAGACCTCCACAAGTATTGCGTGTCGGCACAAAGAAGACTTCATTTGCTAACTTTATGGATATTGCAAAAACACTTCATCGCTTGCCAAAACATTTGTTAGACTTTTTACTAGCTGAATTGGGTACCAGCGGTTCAATGGACGGAAACCAGCAGCTTATTATTAAAGGTCGTTTCCAACCTAAACAGATAGAAAATGTACTGCGCCGTTATATCAAAGAGTACGTGACCTGCCACACCTGTCGTTCACCCGAAACTATACTGCAAAAAGATACAAGATTATTCTTCCTGCAATGCGAATCTTGCGGTTCTAGATGTTCCGTAGCAAGCATTAAATCGGGTTTCCAAGCAGTTACTGGCAAACGTGCTGCAATTCGTGCGAAAACTACATAAAAAAATTTTTGTTGGTGCGACTTTAGGATTTCTATTGTTCTTTTTCTAGTGGGGATTTATTTTGATGTAACAAATTCGATATATGACAAAGAACAATGAAAAAATAGAACAAGTTGAAATAAGCGAGGATTAATATTTTTTATTTAAATTTTAAACATACAAACCATTAAATAAATAAATAGTAAACCGATCATAAAAAAACTAACCATAGAAATGTTATCTTTTTGATGTTTTATATATATTCATATACCAGTCAATTATTTCGTCCTTGAAAGCCAATTCCATTGTTCTATCGCAACCTGTGTCGATGTCCCAACTAAAGCCGAATACGCCCACTTGACCACGAAACAAATCTGGCCTTCCAAAGACAAATACTTTGTTACCTACTGCAATTCGTGATGGGTCTAGTTGTTTTCTAGTTTTGTTCAGCAGCTTCTCTAATGCAATTAAAATATCTGAATTCTCCTTAATTGACTTTCTTATAAACACTTCATTTCGCAAGCGTTGTAATTCGAGAATGTCGCCTTCTTTTTTCGGAATAAACAAAGGCAAAATTGAGGTATTGTCATCAATTTCAAACTTATAGTGACCATTATTTTTACTCAGAACCAGTTTGCCCACTATCCGTGCATGTACCATAATTGTTCGAAAATGCACTTTGCCATCAAATGCTTCAAAAAATGTTGGCGAAGAGGCGCTGCAATGTTTGACGTCCATCAAAAGCATTGGCACACATTCCAGGTGCTTATTATCACTATCAGATGTTTTTAAACCGCATTTCGCCGAAAATTGTGCATCCAAACAATCACTACCGCTCATCTCAATATCTATTAATTTTTATATTTTAATTTTTGTACACTAATGAATGTATTTGGCGCTATTTTGTCCCTTTGAATCTTGAATGTCCCAATGAACCATCGAATATGCAATCACATTCAGCCAATTGAATATATCATAACATAGAAACTAAATAAGTTTTGATATAAATTTATCATATATTTCAGACTCATAAATTTTTATATGTAAATTATTATCTAACAAACAATTAAGATATCGTAAGTACCTTTTCTTAATTTATATATGCAACTGATTCATATAATTTCACAATTTGTTATAATAATTGTATATACAACTTTTGCGACTGGCAATACTGCAACATTTCACTTCGTCTTTCGGGCAGAGAACATACATTTATAATACATACATATATAAATGTACGTTCTCTGTTTCGAGTTCGTGTGTGTCAAAGTAAATGAACCAGTTACTTTGCGAGACGAAATTAAAATAAACATTTTTGGTGTTAAATATAATTATTGTAGAAAAGAAAAAATAAATTTAATACAATTTTCGAAACAAACACTTAAAAAGGAGTCAGTAAATACAAAGAGTAACGTTGAGACTTTTATCATAAAATTGCGGTGGAAGTAAGATTTGCCGAAGTTGTATTCGGCAGCTGTGTCAATACATTCACACAAAAAACTTTTTGTCTTTGTTTACACTCTTTCTGAATTGTGAAATTGCTGATCGAGATATTGCAATTCGTCAAAGTCTTCCAAAGCATTGGTAACCACCGTCAATAAACAAATTGAAATAAGTCGAATCGATTTGTTATGTCTGGCGGAGCACTGATAACACTAAAGGAAGATGCTACTGATGGTGGAGGTAATGCCAATGGAGGAGGGGGCAATTCTAATATTGCAAATAATCAACAAACATCCGGATCCGGAAACGTAAATGCTACTCCAGGTCACAACCCAAACGGTAGTAATAGTGGCCCTCCGGAAGGAACACGCCAAAATAGCTTACAACGCATTCAATTGCGAAAACAAAAAGTTTTTAACTTGCCTGTTCCGCAGAAGTTAGCAAAATTATCTATGTACTCTTCTTGCCAGAGCGAATGCTGCCGCTGTACTGGATGGAAAACTCCTCAAGAAAATCGTCATCGAGATGTAGAATCGTCAACGTATTGCCCTGAATTCACCGAAGAATGTCGCAGCTGTAGACACCCGCTTCAAAATCATATTGCCCATCTGGATGGCATATCGGGTTCTCAAATGAACGAACTTCTGGGTGCTATAATAGACATGGAAAATTTGTTCATGTCAATGCAACGCGTAGAAGATGAGGATACCAAAAAAGTGTATCTGTATTTATTTCGTCTCTTGCGTCAATGTGTCCTTAGTCGTCAACAAGCTGTTATTCATGGACCCCTGGGCGATCCACCATTCGAGTCGCCATGCATTGCAAAAGCCGTTTCATCATTTGTGTTCTATAAGTACAACCATTTAAGTCAAACTGAATTACAGACAATGACAGAAGTGGCGAAAACATTTCTAAATTTTTTAAATCATTACAACTTCGAACCACCATCAATGCGTCGCTCTGGATTAACGCATGAAGATGCTTCAACATATAAGATTAATTATACGCGATGGCTAGTGTTTTGCCATGTGCCCGCTTTTTGCAATTCTTTGCGTCATTTCGAAACATCGCTAGTGTTCGGTCGCACTTTATTGCGTACCATATTCAAGTATATGGCTGAGCAGCTAAGAAATAAATGTTCTTCCGAACGAGATCGCTTACCAGCTGATAAACGTTCAATTATAACGCAAATGCCCAAATTTTTAGATGCGCTAAAAGCTGAACTATTAAAAGACGACTCGCCGATTTGGGATCAAGGATTTCGTCCATCAACAGCTTTTATAATACAACAACGTAAACGTCAGCAAGAGGCGAGTACTGGAGCGGCAACTGGCAGTAAGCGATCCGGCACTGGAGAACCCGCACATAAAAGAGTCAAAAAGGAAAGCATTGATCGTGTCAGTGGGTAAGTTTTTGGCGGTATGTTCGTAACCGACTAATGAATATATATTTATATACATATGTATATATATAGATATATAACTATAAAAGTAATTTTAGTAATTGTGACTTGCAGATGGTAAATCGAGGAAATAGCAGAAAATAAGTTTAAGTGTTTGTTTTATTATATGCATATGCTTTCTTTTTTTTTTTTTTTTTTTTTTTTTGAAGAAAGACTGTGAGCACGAATAGTGCATGTGTAATTTTCCATTTCACAATTCTCGATTAACACATGAATCGAACAATGTATACAAATTAAGTACGTATGTGAATACACTAAAAAAAGATAAAGGATTTTTAGACTTTAATAAAATGTAGCTGACCAGTCAACGTTAAAAGTAAATGCAGTAAATGTGTTTTCTTTATACATATTGTATGAACTTAATGTGAATATCGATATATTGGGTTGATTGCGAGCGCTCGTGCACGTCCGTAAAGGAAGCTGCTTTGTGCACAACTGGAAAAGAAAATGTTTATAGTGACACAAAACAGTCGGCAACAAATGACATTTTTTTGTTTGTGTTTTTTCGCCGATACGAATACTTTGTCATCGTACGAAGTACTATTTTTTTATACCGTTTCTTATATTAAGGCTTTTTTAATGAGTAATAAGTAATTGGCGGCGTTGTACGAAATGCAGAAGGTGGACACACAAACGGGTTTATGTAGTCAAATTTAAAGCATGCTTTTAGGCGAACTTTACATGCAATATTTAATTAGTTATTTAATGTATTTTAATTAAATTGAATGCATGCGCATATTGTATAATATAAAATGCTTTTACATGGTATGTTTTCAATATAATAAAAATGCAGTTTCAGTTACATTTTTTATCTAAATAATCCATCTATTGAAAATGTGCATTTCAGAGAGTGTCAGTTTGAGGACCTTTCTGATGACACCGTTGTGCGTGCTATGAAAGCTATTTCAGAATCAAAGGCCATCAATAAATCAGAAATCTTATTTCCGGTCAATGTCTCCCGCGATGAAAATGTTAAAGCAGAGGAACAACAACGAGCCATTGAATTTCACGTAGTCGGAAATTCCCTAACAAAACAAGTGGATAAACAGACAATATTTTGGCTTATTGGACTACAAGCAGTATTTGCCTATCAACTACCCGAAATGCCACGTGAATACATAAGTCAATTAGTATTTGACACAAAACACAAAACGCTGGCACTTATAAAGGAAAATCAACCCATTGGCGGCATTTGCTTTCGACCTTTCGCTAGTCAGGGTTTCACAGAAATAGTATTTTGCGCCGTTACCATGTCCGAACAAGTTAAGGGTTATGGTACACATTTAATGAATCATTTAAAAGACTACAGCATTAAACATGGCATACGACATTTGCTGACCTATGCTGACTGTGATGCTATTGGTTACTTTAAAAAGCAAGGTTTCTCCAAGGATATTAAATTAGCTCGACCGGTCTATGCTGGTTTCATAAAGGAATATGATGGTGCTACGCTAATGCATTGCGAATTACACCCAAGCATCGTGAACACACAATTTATTTCTGGTAATTTAAAATTTCTAATTTTTACTTAGATAATTATTTAAATTTTAATTTTGCTCTACACAATAGTTATAAGAAAGCAGAGCGAAATACTGAAAGAATTAATAGCACAACGCCACAATGAGGTGCAAAAAGTGCGTCCTGGTTTAACTTGTTTCAAAGAGGGATTACGTTCCATACCAGTTGAATCGATACCCGGATTACGTGAGATCGGTTGGAAACCACAAATGCGTGCACAACGCACTTCACGTCCACTAGAAGAATCTTCCGACCCAGAAAAACTTGCAGCATCCTTTACTGCTGTATTACAGTCGGTGCGCCAGCATCAAGCCGCCTGGCCGTTCCTACGTCCAGTACCAGCGGCTGAAGTACCCGACTATTATGATCACATTAAATATCCGATGGATCTAAAAACTATGGGTGAACGCCTCAAGCAAGGATATTATGTAACACGTCGGCTCTTTATGGCTGATATGGCGCGTATTTTTTCCAATTGCCGTTTCTATAATTCACCGGAAACTGAATATTATCGTTGCGCTAATTCATTGGAACGTTACTTTCAGACCAAGATGCGGGAGTTGGGTCTATGGGACAAATGATGTTGCGCCCTCAATGCCGCCGTTGATATGCTTAGCGAACACGAACGCGTGGCGGATGAACACAATGTAAGCAATCCGGCGACAACAACTTCAGATAATATGAATATACAGCAGGGCGACAATAACGGTAGTAATGGTGCTGAT